TGGCGGGTTTCCGACACCGATCCAAACCGAGAGATAGATATCAGAAACGAAAACGGGAAAAGAAGAAGCACCTAGGGGTCACCGGAAGCATGATCTCTGATATCCAATCAGACTTGCCGGATGAGATCCCGGATACAATCCCAAGTACTGTTGAGGCCGTCTCGACCGCACAGTCTGAAGTACCGCCACCAACCACACCATCGAAACGAGGATCCACAGTCTCGTTGTCTTCGCCAACACGATCTTCTAGTGCTGCCTCTCTAAAGGACGAATCCCCTACGGTTACAGAGCAGCCTTCTAAGGATAAAGACCTCGTAAAGGTTGCGGTAAATGAGACGTCTGATACAACGGCCTCTCTGAAAAAGAAACGTCCCCTAAAGAAGCCTCCCTCCAAGATGGATGAAAAGTCTGTTCAGGGCAGGAATGACGGAAAGAGGCGTGGTAATCCAGAGGCCCTGAAAAGAAAAATAAACATCTCAGCAGCTGGTGACCTCCCTATGGACCAGGCGACAGCCGCACTAGAGACCGGGTTTGATAATGTCGCAATAAATTGGGAGAAGGCAAGTTTTAGGTTGGGTTTCAGATAACTGTCACTGCACACCCTTCTTGCTCGCACTGCTGGGTGGTTAAGACAGCAAACGTATTGGTTCCAAGCGTCTCTAATGCAGCTGTTTTTAAATCTACTAAGGCAGTCATAGGAAGAGACTGAAGTAAACCTGAATTAATCCCACTTTTTGTAACCCAGAACAGTTCTTTTCAAAGAATCTGCCTAGAATTGAGCATTTTCATGTCTGATGCAACGCCACCTACTCCTCCCCCCCCTCTTGACTAATTTGAACCAACGCCTCCGCTCGATGAACCTTGCTCTGAACATCTACCTGCGGCGGCTGAACTCCACCTTCGTATTAACTGGCGTACTGTGGGGAGTCTTTACGCACTGTCAACCGACGGTACAGCTCAGGCCTCACAATCGACCCTGTTCATGTCTTTGTATGGAATGATCAACTGGGTGACCGTGAGTCAGGCTGAAAGACCCCTTCTGAAAATGGCCTCGATGGCGCTGGCGCGCATGTGTGCTGTGCGGAGGGCCAGGTAGTGCGTGCCATGCGCAGACCGGGCTGTCTTTGTCGATAATGCCATTCTGTTTTAGATCTGTCAACAACTTGCTCCCAATTCTTGCATCAAGTAACTGACTGCACGGACAGTGTATTGGTGCCTGGGAGAGAGAGAGGTCGACTCTGGGGACTGAGCTCCTACGGCACTCAGCGCCTATTCCGCACTATAAACAATCGGACGTTCTTGCAGTGCATGCCTTGGAAGACTGCTAATTGACGGTTCTCCTCTCAGAACGGAGAATCAGCTCGCAGGGGCTTCTTCTCAATGTGACGTCTATGACAAACCCACTCTGGTGGGATCCATGCCGCCAAAATTTGTTTGTGTGAAAACTTGGTCATGTATAGGCAGAATAGTATTACCGACAAAGACAAGGGAGACTGGAATGGCCATTTCTGGCTTATTAGCCGTCGTCAGCCAGCCATACCCAAGCCCGAAGTGTGGACCATCCGAGCCTCGAACTCGCGACCTGTTGGTTTAGAAGTCAAGGCCTCTATTCACCGGGCCACGAGCCCGTTGCCTTGTCGGTTTTCGATCGGGAATATACAATGTTAGGGGGCGCTCACCGATCGTTCATACGGAACTCACTCGTTCCGTTGTGCCAACGGGCTCGTGGCCCGGTGAATAGAGGCCTTGACTTCTAAACCAACAGGTCGCGAGTTCGAGGCTCGGATGGTCCACACTTCGGGCTTGGGTATGGCTGGCTGACGACGGCTAATAAGCCAGAAATGGCCATTCCAGTCTCCCTTGTCTTTGTCGGTAATACTATTCTGCCTATATATCATGCGCCGCTGTGCGGCTGCTGGTTGGGCTCGAGAGAGAGTCCATAAGGCACAACGGAACGAGTGAGTTCCGTATGAACGATCGGTGAGCGCCCCCTAACATTGGTCATGTATATGTCACGCTCAGACTGGATGCTTAGCCTTGTAGGTCACTGCGCGCGGTTCCGCCTCCGGTTTTCTTGGATCTGTCTTGACATCGGATTTCGTTATTCGCCCCAGTCGTTGCGACAAACTTCAGGGAGGAATGCGACTTGTCGAAATTTTGAACTAGGCCGTCGATGTCGGTGGCATGACTTGTCAGACGAAAAATATTATCCGCGTTCCGACTGTAGAAGTCAAGGTCATTGGCGGTATCCTTGTGACCCGTCTAAGTCCAAAGGTCTGAAAGCGTGTGCTATGTCAGTATCAGCAAACCATAGCCCTCGCAGCCTGGTATGCACTGGCAGTTCCCTGACACCTGGTTCACTGCCGGTGGATGCGCTGAGTATACAGGTGGTGAGTATGGCTGCCCAGTCATCATCCTCGTTCTTCTGACCCTTGCTGGGGTGTTGTTGTTGGTCAACTGTATGTTGTTGACCAGAGAGTGTGGTGGCACGCCTAGGTGCGGGTCCGGTCGCGTCGACCACCTGAGCCCTCTCCCGCCACCGGTCTTCTTGACTCTGTCTTAACACCGGGTCCAGGTTGAGGAGAGGGTGCGGTAGATGCTACGCAAGTCTACTGTCACTCTAAACTACATCACGCGCAAGTCGCTGTGCCTGCTGCACCTTGCTGTGTAGCACACGGTGGACATCATCAGAATCGACGGTCGGACTGTGCGGCAGTGGTGAACTGTCAGATTGCGCATAAATGACTCTTTTTGTGTTGTGGCTGATTGTTTCTTGAAGAAAACGGTTCCGCTGTGCTTTTAAGAACCTCGAAAACTTTTGGTCAGCCAGCTGGCAGCAGATGAAACCGTCCGAATGGGGGGAAGCCGGCATCTTTTCTCTGCTGTGAAGTTAGTTTCAAGGACCCCCGACTCGAATTGCGCTCCAAAGCTGTCAATGCTGGTTCACTCGATGATTAAAGATGCGCCATGGACATATCGCGTCTAGATGTGAGTTTGTGCTTATCCAACACATGCTGACCAAGATTTTTACAGCCCATCAATGTACTTTTATTCGGTCTAGCATTTGACTGCACTGAGAGTCAAATGACTCCAATGGATACTCTGGAATGCTTGCTGAGGTCCTGAGCGGTAGGCTGTTGGCTAAACTGTAGCCTATCCACTTTTTAGACAGCGAATGCTTGAGGATAAGGTTGAGTGGGAAAATGACATCGGATGAGACTGTCTTCCCACCTGACGTAATTTAAGCAAAAATTGTCCCGCGAAGTGGACTGTTGATTATGAGCTCGAAATCAGGAGATTCAGCCTTCCCAAAATCTGTTTTCAGACCAACGTACATCGCCGACAGACAACTGATCGAAAGGGATGTCCGCCTCTTGAATTATTTCACGCCCATAAAGTCATGTCGTAGATGTCTCTGTGGGTCCCGTCGTGTTCCAGGCTGTGCAAGAGATACTTTCACGATGATCTACATTAATCACTTAATCGATGATCTTCGATACCGACCGCTTCGGTGTGCGCATGGCTCTGGGTGGTTTACACAGCGTCATGACGTGCAGCGAACACACCAGTGCATCATCATCATCATCATCATCATCATCATCATCATCATCATCATCATCATCATCATCATCATCATCATCATCATCATCATCATCATCATCATCATCATCATCATCATCATCATCATCATCATCATCATCATCATCATCATCATCATCATCATCATCGTCATCCTCCTCCTCCTCCTCCTCCTCCTCCTCCTCCTCCTCCTCATCATCATCATCATCATCCGTTGCGATCCTGGTGCACCTAATTGTCATCGCATTTTATATTACCCATCGCAGATGTTTGTCTGGATACAGAAAAGATGTCAAATCAGAGGCGCTGGAATTCTCTCTGTAGGTCTGGTCGTTGCCGCTGATGAACTGCAGTCTGTGTGCAGTGGAGAGCAGCGGATCGCGTCGTCCCCCACGCAGGTCATCCGGCATTCGCATTAACTGTTTTTGGCATCCTAGCGACAGCGCCTTCACGCACTCACACACCGCGTGGCCCACTGACAGCAGGAACACTCAGTTTCACTACGAATGATCCTGCTGCAGAGTCGCGTCACGCCTGACTGCGCCGTGCCTGTTATCTGCGACCATTCCTGTCTCAGTCGGCGCCTCGTTGAGTCCGTCTGACGACGGCGGTTCGACTGTCACAAACGACTATGCCCACCTCTTGCCTCCCTCCACCCCCCTCCGCGGGGGCGTTGCATCAACGGTGACTTGGGCGCGAATGAGTTATACTGAAGTAGACCTGCGCGGCATCCACCTCACCGCCTCTTCCCTCACGCTACCTTGCTAAGATGACAGAACAGGGCCAAGAAGATCGGAGGTGGATGTGGCAGAGCTAAACAGCTCGTCTAGGCGTGCCACACATAAGACCTGACTCCCACACACCATGTGAGAGACTTTCTTGAAGTCGGCTGTGATCCCACGCCAGCGTGAGTGTTATAAAGGTCACCTTAAGAAGGATCTACTTCAGCCTGATTCTTACCGCTTCGTGGCAAATTCATGCGCATCAGACACATTAAAGCAGCTTCCGACTTATATCCTGTCGCGCATCGGCTTATTGAGCTTCTGTATTGCCATTCCTAGCGCGCTATCTTACGTGCGAAGAGAAAGAAATACAGAAGCTAAGACTAGAACTATCCTCATACTAATCGTTTCTTTGTGTTAAACTTTGACTCCTGAATAATCCATTAACTTATTTACTGCCCATAGTGAATGGAACCAGTTTTGTGCTGAAAATTTTGAACTAACGATATCAAAATAAAGCGACTTCCTCTCTCTCTCAAAAGCGAGGGAGGCGCTGGTGCGCAGTGTCGGCCTTTAATCTTTCTTCCCTATTCTGATCGGCCGAGCCTGACAATCAGCGGGCAATGGGATTGGGCGCAGTGGCTGAAGCAACGTGCAAGGCATCCCGTCACACGTCTGCAGAGCAGTAGCCAAGAGCCGGTTTGACGACCGTCTTGTTCCGCGCATTTGCATTGAAGCCCGTTGTTTGGGCTCACCTACGCGCATGCGTGGACTCATTATCTCTTCATTGGCTGTCTACCCCGGCTTTGTGCGAAGCTACTCACTCGTAATCAGTATCAGTTTATTAAGGGAAACATAGGCGAGAGCCTTTGAACTCCCTTTTGGTTACAGGTCGTCGGAGGAAAACATTGATAAGTGGGAAGGTGAAAAAGGGATTTTGTACCTAATCGCCGACAGCTAGTCGAAAAAGAGTCATCATTAACGGTTACTTACTAATTACAAGTAGTATAAACACGTTTAAGTTGTGCCAGGCTATGTGAGTGTATGTGAGGATGGTAATTGGGAAGCTTGATGCGCGTCAAGTCTACACTTGAAGGAATTCACACAAGAAGAGATTACAACTGATAGCGTGCAATTGTCCGAGAACTGTGAGTAATAGCACCCTGACCGTGCTCCCGTACATTCAACAGGTCAGGAGGGCAGTCCCCCCAGTCGGCTATGCCTCATAGTGATTTGCCGACAGTTGTGGCCGCAACACAGAGTTTACTTCAGAATAAGTCCCTCCTTCTAGTGTTTACCATCTTCGGCTGCAAACATGATCCGGATTAAGGTGGTCTTGACACCCTTGGTCTATCGTAGAAACCGGTTAAATATAGACTCATCCTAACAGATGCCACCATCAGCATGCGCGTAATCTACACGGTAAATATCAACGACGTGGCGACAGTCATCAAAGACAATAGCACTGACGTCTTTTTTGTCGCCGTGGCTACCATCGCCATACCCGACCTTGACATACTCTGTCATCGCTGCCACCAACTGCACAATAAACACCCTACTGTCTTCCAACAGCGACATCATCATCATCATCATCATCATCATCGCCCAAGTCATTGCCTAGAGGCAACTAGGTAGATATCAAAAAGTCGACGAAATGAGCAAGTCGCCATCCGGACTGACGATGTAATTCCAAAACGTGTCTTAGTTGGTCGAGGTAGCTTCCGGCAATAAAAGAAATACGGTTGTGGGCAACTGACCTTGTCCAAACAGGCACTTTATAAAACAGTTTAGTTGGATGATTACCATTTGATTTTCTTCAACACCCGTTGCCCCCCCCCCCTCCCCAGGTGTGCAGTGAGCACAGACAATGACAGTCAATGGGGAACAAATGACGAGGAGTGTTTAGCGCTCAGTCCCCAGTCTCCCCCTAGACGTATTTCAGCCACCGTTTTATGCCCAATTTAAGTAAATCTAGCGTCTGAGACAGATCGACAAGGGCAAGGAGAAGCTAAGGCGGTGCGGTCACCGATCGTTCTTACGGAACTCACTCATTTTGTTGTGCCTTAAGGGCGCTCTCTCTCGAGCCCAACCAGGCCAACCAGAGAGCTCGTAAGGCACAACGGAACGAGTGAGTTCCGTAAGAACGATCGGTGAGCGACCCTCTACCATTGTTTTAGATCTGTCAACCACTTGCTCCCAATTCTTTCATACAGTGACTGACCACCCCCTACCATTGTATATTCCCGATCGAAGCCGACAGGGCAACGGACTCGTGGCCCAGTGGTTGGAGGCGTGGACTTCTAACAAACAGGTCGCGAGTTGGAGCCTCGAGTGTTTCGCATTTTGGGGTTGGGTATGACTGGCTGACGACGGCTAATAAGTCAGAAATGGCCATTCCAGTCTCCCTTGTCTTTGTCGGTAATCACATACGGCCTAAGACAGTGACTGTTCTGTCAGCCAGTCACACACCTCACTAACTGAGCAATAACAGCAAGAAACACCCAGTGTAAACTGATCTACTCCAAGCTAGCAGTTAATTTCTGAGGAATTTAGAATGCAACAGTTGTCGTAGTCATTACTACTACTACTACTACTACTACTACTACTACTACTACTACTACTACTACTACTACTACTACTACTACTACTACTACTACTACTACTACTACTACTACTACTACTACTACTAATAATAATAATAATAATAATACTCTCAATTGTGGGGGCATTCGTCCGGACAAATTCTGCCTACAATTTGCTGGAAGTAAAGCTCTCGTCGGAAGAGCCAGGACAGCGGACTCTCAGGAATTTCAACCAGCCCGTTTGCCTGAAAGAAAACAATAGATTGTTGGACCATAAGCGTGTCCCCGGTTGGCTTCCACCAAGGCAAACCATTTTCTAATTAGCGTTCTGGGGACTAAAACAGCGTAGGAATGCTTGCAAGACAGTATCACCTCTAAGCGGAAGAAGCATATAGGTACACTCTCGGGCGTCGCTCATTTCGTCCAGCGGGCAGCGTGAGCTCTGACCCCACTTGGGCGCAAACATTCTTTGTCCCTCGAGCGGACACACGCAGTCACGCCTTGCGCGCATGCATTCTTAAAGCGCATTGAGCCATGTGTTGCACCGTTCCGCGTTTAAGTCGGAGCGAGACGTAGGGAGGTCATTTGAATCGGGTAGTGAGAAAGTACCAGTTGGCCGGAGTTCTCTTACCACCATATGACTTTTTATTTGAGCTAGCATCGGATAAACAAATTAAAATAGCGAAATGCCGCCGCCACCTACTAGGTCTCTGTAGAAGGCGTCTAGCTCCCGAGCAAAAAGGCTCATGTTCCACACCGAGAGGAAGACTAAACTGCCGAGTGCCTAGAAAAGCAGCAGCAGCAGCAACAGCAGCAGCAGAAGGAGGAGGAGGAGGAGGAGGGGGACGTATGGGTAGCCAGCTCAGGATTGCCCATAGGTACAACGAGGCCGGTCTGTGTGATTGGCCAGTCCGCTCAATCGGCCAATGAACGCGAGGTTTGATGCGATGCGAGGGCGCCGATGGTCTTGTGGCAGAGGCGCGACTGAGTAGCTCACGCAGCAAGTTCGAGGGCATGCTGCCCAACACGATCGATCGCGAAAAAGAACGGTGCTGTGGATAGTGAAGAAGGGCTTGAGGACACACCTCGTGCACGGATTGCCTTTACCCTGGCCCCTTTCTGGTTAACAAATGGCTGTTGCGATCAAAAGCTATTTTCTCCATTTAATGTCTCTTGGAATAAAAATAAACGACCTTCAGTTATTGAGTTTGTTTAAATAAACCCTCTCTGTACTGATTTCGCTTCTAGACCCTTTCGGCCTCGCATGCCCCAAATCCCATGCGCTGGTTCCAGGCCCTGGATGCCATGGAATTTGACGTAGCAAAATCAGTCAACTCAGACGGAGACGGGAAAAAGAAGGACATTGAGGGCTACGGTCTGGGCAAGCGCTTTTCTAGCCTGACTGGCGGTCTTGAGAAGCTGGTTAATCTCCTGGATGCTACAGCGGAAAACGACCAACCGAAGGCAGAACTTCTGCTCGACAGTATGGTGAAGCAGCATGTCCTCGATATGCCTCTGGTAGTAGGCAATCCGGAACGCATCCGTGAACTCTACAGGAGCACAGTCCTTTCGGATCCCATGCTGTACAAAATGGTGATGCGTCGACGCGATATTCTACCTCAGGACCTACAAAACTTTGTAAACAAAATTCTCGAAATCACTGAGTCCTCAAACGAAATGCTTGCCGCCCTTCTGCCCTCTGCAGGTCATCGAAAGTTGATCACCGACGCGGCGAAGGAAATGTTCGCTTCCGGATTCCTCTCCGGCGGACCCAAATGTCCATTCGAGAATCCTGCAACAAAGAAACACATAGTACCAGTAGTTCTCGACTCTACAATGAGTGATGATGATACCGAAAAGATACCGCCTTCTGAGGTTGAATCTGAGAAGAAGGAGGAGGAAGCGGGGGAGACCTCGAGAATCATGAATTATACTAACGATGTGGACTACGAGAAGGCCTTCTACACCTCTATCCGAAATCCTAGCCGGGACATTTTGGAAGAGGTGGCTTACTTCCTGCCGGAGTTTGCCTTTCACATCAGACCCCTGTTCGAACTGAAGTGGGAGAAGATCGGCACTGATACCTATCCGGAGACTCTTTTACCCGAACTGGCAAAACTTCGTGATCTGCGTCACACCCGGTTGAACATCATGAAATCTGGAGGGTTACTGAGCGCCAAAGAAGAGGAGAAGGACGCGGAGACCACCAGGAAACTGTGCAAAAATCTAGTGGCGCGACTGTGTGGGCTCCTACGTGGGCCAGCGGGTATGTTGCCTGGAAGTGGTTGCTGGATGGCCTTGCTGGCAACACTGCATGGCATTATGATGTGGCCACCATTAGGAGACTGTCTAGTACGCAAAATGAACTACTGGCTGCCTGTGCTTCTCCTAACCCTCTTTAATCGCTATCCCTCCGTACGGGAGGAGGGCTGCTGTGTACTGGCCTTCCTGGTCTCCTGTTATCCTCTCTTCACACGCCTCCACTACCACTCGCGGCAACTCCTGGTGTCCAACGTTACCTTCGCCCTGCTGGATGCCATGGACAAGAATAAGGAATCTTACGCCTACTTCCATGGTGTTCTGGGCTACATGCTGCACTCAATCCCCTGTTGTGCGCCCATGGAATGTATCGTGCTCTGGGCGCCAGAGGTCATGAAGCGGAAAAATAGTCTGGTCGCGCGGGACTGGCCCCGATTCATCTACTACATGGCCAAGCAGTGGCCGACACACTGTCTCCGACGGAGTGTTATTGTCCAGCGCCGACTTCTGCGCGTATTGGAGTTGGGCCTCAGCAAACAGCGATCAAAATACAGTGCTCGTCTCGCGCTCGGTTATTACCAGCGCCGGACGAGGGAGTTAAGCTTTGTGGCCACTTGTTGGCGGTCCATGGGAGAGAGTTAAGTTACCGGGTGATCCCACTCCCTGTCTCTCCTTTTAAATAAAAACGGACAAGGTAACCACCCTGTGGATGTGAAGTTGAACCCTGTAACGATCACGCACACATATGTACGGTAAGCGGCTGAAACTCGATTTCAGCGTCCCTTCTTACTGTGATTGGTTAAAAAGCGTGTGTATGTAACCGTATACAAAAAACGCAATCGATACAATTTGTCTTGTGACTTCTCTGTAAATGCACCTAGGGGCCGGTAGAATAAACCTGTTTAACTTTTCTGTCACCATTAAGCCAATCAGAATCGCATTCTTGTTTGGCGAGCGTAAGATTTAAGTCTGCGTGTGGGTCAGCGACCACTGGTCACTGAGATATATAGGATTGTTCATTACTGGCTGAGATTCCTAATATCTGAAGGATGTTATGCTGTATTCAGAAAAACCAAGTAATTTAAATTACTGATCATTTTCTGGCACACCCAATCGTTCCGTTTTTAGTGGTAACTACAACGATAATTACTTCAAAGGATGGGCTTCTAAACGCGCGAAAAGGATTTGAATGCGATAACCGGGAAACGGCAGTCTTGAGCCCTAAGGAAAATTTAAAAAAAGATAGACGCACTTGACAGATTTAAACAAATCATGTGACCCAACTGTGAAAAACTAAGCGACCTCGGTGGGCTGTGAGCCTACGGCAGCAAGGAAAAGGCTTGAGTACAGCCAATGCTCTAGCCACCATAGGCGCGGGGTTCCCATCGACAGCCGTGAGATTGATCACATTTGGGTCAATTTACCCGTCCAGCCTACAGGGACGTATGGGATCCACCAATCCTAGAACAGGAAACCGACTACCGAAGCAAAATTGGCGGGAATACAGTGTCGCAACGAATAGTCAAACCCTTGCCCTAACCATAACCACAACCGTATCCTCAAGCCTGAACATCAACCTTAATCCTAGCTACTACGCATTTTTTTCGAAGTGCTTTACACTCAGATTTCCTGTGTGACGAGGAAAGTGTCATCTCAAACCCCACCCGCCTTTAATTTCGCAGCTACGTGGGGAGGGGGAGCGAAGCGAAAAATGGATCCGTGGAATGATAGAAACCCCGGTCTGCAGTGAAAACTTAGTGGACCAGACTAGCGATTTTCAGGTCTCTATCAGTCGCCTCAGGGTCAACAGTGCTGATTGCTGATTGGTCAAAATGTCGCCTAAACATTGACTGTTGTGTTGGGCTCCTTCAGGATTTCAAACTCTTAAACAAACATGCAGTCCCAGCTCTCGGTGTGATTTTTTACACTTGCTACGCAGGCCCATCATTAAATAAATGACCGATTGAAGAGGAACTGCAGTGAGAGCTTAATGAGTTAGAAGAAGATGAAGAAGAAGAACAAGAAGAGGAAGAAGAAGAAGAAGAAGAAGAAGAAGAAGGAGAAGAAGAAGAAGAAGAAGAAGGAGAAGAAGAAGAAGAAGAAGAAGAAGAAGAGGAGGAGGAGGAGGAGGAGGAGGAGGAGGAAGAAGAAGAAGAAGAAGAAGAGTATGACTGATTCCGCCAATGCTTTGACTACTTGAATGTTCGCCTGTTCCAAGCACTACACCTCTGGCCTGTTGTCCACTTTTAATTAGCCAACACGATTTCGGGCAACTTTTGGATTCCTATCGGTAATTCCTGGGAAAACGGCAACCTGAAGCCACAGTCTTCTGAGAATCGCCATGAGACGCGCTTAACAATCTGCAGAGCGAATTTTGGATAGGATCGCGAGTGAGCCGGAAATTTACAGTTACGCGGTGTGCAAAAAAACATGAAACTGGAAAAAACCAAACAAACAAACAAGCGAGAGAACAGCCGGTCCAGAGGTCTGTAGTGACAACCACTGATTGCGTAAAAATAGCGTCAGGTGAAGGGCTCTAAATCTTGACATCTGGGTTGAATGGAGGTCTTTGCATGCTATGGGTGCGTATTTTTTTCAGGAGAAATGGATACGTGCTCCGTCAGGCAAAACTCAGGACAAACTGGGCCACAAAATTGGCCGTGCCGAGGAGGATGAGGAAGATGTGGAAGGCAACAATGGCCCACTTAAACGGCGTAAGATGCCTCAATCCCAGTTTTGGTCGCACTTTCTGGGGACTGGGGTTACAGGCGGGCTCAGCATCGCTTTTGTCAGTCCGGTTTGTCATCCCGGCCGGCACACGCATCAGGCTGAGGATGTACACCAGGCAGGGTAGTGCAAAGATGTAAATGAGGGCAGAGAAGGAGCCACTGAACCTGTAAATTGAGCGGTAAAACGACAAATTATGGAGGAGGGGGTATTATTGTTGTGACCAGGCAGTGTGCCGGTGTGTGCATGGTCTGAGCGCTACTATAATTAGGGCAAATCCTATGTTGAAAGGAGAGACAGAGAGAGAGAGAGAGAGAGAAGACAGAGGGCACCAGAATGAGGGGTTTATTGTGCACAGAACCCGGCAGTGGCCACTGGCGAAGCCAGGGCTGGTGTTGACTGCGACAAGTCATGCCTGAGAGTCTCTGGGACAGTGATGGCAGCCGCTTTTGTAGGCGCATGGGTAGTCGCGACGCTGTGTGGACGCAATTGTGTCTGAGCTGAAGTCGGTCGAGTGGCTTCAGGTCAGCTCGTCTGGGACGGCTCACTGCAAGGGGTGAATGACCTTGAGACAGCGAGGTCATATTGGCTGCCCGCTACACTATCGCACACAGAACAGTGCGCTAAGTAAGGATAAGTAGTTTCATAAGTATATCAACTTCTGCCCATATCGGCAAGTACAAGCAGCGATTGAACCGACTCCATCTCCAACGACAGCGCAAACCGGTGTTAGCCACGCTATCCACCGAAAAAGTTAGGCAAATCACGAACAACCGCACACAACACATCCTCCCCAGGTCCGTCTTGCTTTCATTCGTGGATTTTTTCAGCTGAGCATCATGGAGACAGCACCAGATCGTAAGACTAATGTCACAGACTTGTCCCCCACCGGATAAGCGCAGTGCGGGGTGGTCGTTTCCGCACTTCCAGCGGGTATACCCAGATAGCAATGGTAAGGCATTTGGGGGTACTCAGTCCAGTTCAGTTTATCTGAAGGAAATGTAGGTGCTGCCGCTTTGAACTCCGAGGCAACTGGAAATGCGGCAGTCTTAGGAGACGACAACTTTAACCGCTTTGATCGCAACCTCATGCACCAAATACTTAATCTTCACTAAACCTTTTGGGGGAGAACACAGAGACTCTCAGAGCTGACAAGACATGCTGCGTGGAAGTTGCATATAAAAAGTTATCTATTTCTGACCTTGGCCCTTCTATAGCGAGTAAGGTAGAAAACACAGCTATGGGAAGCCGCCAGTGGATGAAATACTCATCGGAAAGACATACTGTCGTCAGAAGCCAAGGACACTGAAGTGGTCATTGTAGCCTAATGACCACCGCCAAGTTGCGACATAGTTAGAGAGCGAGGAGTTTGACAAGGTTAGCGTACTCACGTGGGTGGCCCAACTCTGCAACCGCTTAATGACCAATGTCATGCCGTAGCTGCTGGACACGAGAAAAGAATTGGGTGAGGTGCCCTCGCCTTCCTGTTTTACGCTTATTCGACCTGAGTCTAACCTGGTTCCTGATCATTTAGCACCTTAGGCTCCAAGTCCTTGTTCTCCGCAGTTATCATCCCCACTCCGAAGATCTTGTTAAAAAAAGTTGAGAAGAAGGTGAAAAATAACTCTCTATACCACCCCCTGCACAGTCGTGGAAGACAGAAGGGTTGGCCAGAGCAATAGGTACCCCAATATCACAGGTGACATAAAACAAAACTCCAGGGTTAGGTCTATTGTTAGGAGATGGGAAGAGGTAACACACTCCCTCAGGACTCGACGGAGGACTACCCGCAGTATAGGGGGTACCTATTTCTGTGGCCCGCCGCCCCTTGATATTCAGTTAGACCTCGGATCTTCGCAGGGCCACATTCCATTTCTGAGAAATAGTAGCTACTTCATGCTTTCCTGTTCTCAAGGCCACTTCTCCGGCAAACTTACAAGGAATCTACGTATGCGACCGCTCAAGATGCCTCTCTTGTAAAATGCCGTTAAAACAGTCTGGACCCTGACGGGTCTTTAAGAAAAAAATAATCTAATCTAATCTATAACGTTTTCTGTTGATGTCGCATGTCAGCCATCTCAAACGTACGGCCGTATACTATGCGGAATAGGCGCGCGGACTAACTCAGACTTGCATTGTTGAGGGAGGAAGATGAATTAGCAAATTGACGGCAGATTGCCAAAAAAGCTTTCCGACAAAATTTGTTTTAAGCAAATAAGATAATCGGCTTGCCTTATAATTGTGCCAATAGAGGGAAGGAACATGGCGAAGAGGAGGCAGATCAAGAGCATTATTACATGAAACACGGAGACCTTCCAGAACCTGCATAAATGAAGCGTGAAAATGGGGGTGTAAGCTGGAGACAGAGGAAAGACGTCGTGGCGACTGCTACCAGTGTGCAGACGATTTCTGTTATGATGGAGAAATAAAGTTAAGGCAACGGGAAAAATAATTTTCATATCTACGTTCCGGGCTTATTCTTGGTCATGCATCCTGAGAAAACAGGGGGAAATAGACATGACAAAGAGTTCGGTGTGAAAACTAGCCAATCAAGTGATTGTGTTGACTGTGGTGGCGACCGCTAATCGGGGGACTGAATGGCGCCTTTCAACCTGGCAACGTGACGCAGAGTTACACACCTGTTTATCGATTCTTGCTCACCCCCCGGCCGGCCCAGCGCTCGGCGTGTCAGATCATGGAGTTGGTGTGACGAGGATCTAGAGGCTGCGAGCAGATACGCAGGCTCCATTCGGTGTTGGCGTAACCTGGCCTGCCTGATAAGTGCACTTTCGATCTCAGCCCAGCACGACAGGGCCCTCGATTTTGTCGTTACTTTGATAATAAGCTGCGCGTCGGGAATCGATAAGTAGGTTTGAATCCCACCCCTTTCCATGATGCATTAAGCGGTCAGACGGGGGACGCAGTTCATCCCAGGGGTTGACGTCTTCCGGTATGAACGACGCTGTTGCAAGGCCGATTTGATTGGTCAGTTTCCCACAGAACTTTTCTTATGTCGCATTTTCCTCATGATGGACTCTAAGACAACGTGAAAGGTCTGATAACTATACAATTCTTGCTACAACAGAAGTTCTTGGGATGAACGCTTCCTCATCAGTTAGTAACGGGGGAGACAGTCAAACCTCGCGCTTAACATTAAAAACTATTCGATTCTCGCCTATAAACTGACGAGTCTAAATCACATCCTCTAAATCTTCCCGTCGCCAATGTCACTAGTTGAGGATTAAAGGTAGGAAGTAGACAAAACTGGTGCTCTAGTTTCGTATTCGTTTGTCGCGTTGCAGAAGGAGCACACGCATTGTCGGGTCAATGTGCAGATAAACTTATTACCGCTTTTTGATGTTTACGTGCACCCTGCAGGGCTCACTATCGCGATTTCATTTCCACAAAGACAAAGAAACTCAAAATGGCCATTTCTGGCCTATTGGCATGCATCACGGGCACAGGGACTACGGCCTCCCCTTTGCATTACGACTGCCCTGACCTAAGTTCTAGAGAGTTCGGTTTGGGAATTGAATTTGTGTCAAGATCACGAGAGTAAGGGTTAGGGCTAAAGTTGGGACGCGGTAATGAGTACCCCTGGAATTTGGCAGGAGACCACCGGCAGTACGGGAGGAGTTCTTATTCCCGTGTCCAGTCACCTAACCTAACAGCAACTGAGATGTGAAACCGTGTCCAGCTGGTCACTTAGAATTTGACCAAAATACTCCACCATGTGGACTACGATTTCATGCCCTGCCGGCTGCGATCAAGAATATTTAGATGGACCCGAAACGTGAGTTTATCTATGAAAGGCAGGACTCCAGGGTGAAATACAATCTACCAAAGACGAGGTTTGGTTCCGCAGCCCCACTTGAGTGATACCATATGGTCAGTTTACTAAAACAAGTTTAGTTTACATACCTAACTTAGCCCCTCGCTGGATTAGGAAGGGAAAGAGAGCGCAAGCAGAGCTCAAAGCACGCGCAGGGAAGCACATTAAGGTGGCGTGTACACACTCCCCTCCCCCCGGACACAGACACTCGCTGGATTAAGAGTATATGGGGGGGGGGGGGCGAAATCCCAAACTGGAAGGCCACTGAAGGTACCGCGTGGTAATTCGCAGTGTATGGCCACTGTAGTGGAACCGACGGAGTTTCACACAGTCAGATCAATTCCATTATCAAGTCCACTTGGATACTCGTGGATTAGGATAATAAAGAGAGCGCAAGCGGGTCTCGAACCTCGCCGAGGGAAGCGCGTGTGACCTGATGCCTGATCTAACCGAGCCTGCCGTATAAGCACTCCCCCCGTGGCACAGTCACTCGCTGGAGTAAAATGGTAAGGAAGATGCAATTACGTATTCGCATCTACCAAGATTTTTTAGGAAGTTAACTATTTTATATCACTCAATTGGGGCTGCAGAACCAAAGCTTGCAGGAAATACAGGTAAGTGAACTCTAGTCCCACGTGGCTACAGAGTATTAATGAGTGTGCGGCTTGTTGGGTAATTTTTTGACCTAAAATGCCGCCCGAAAGCTTATACAAACAAAATACGTCGGCACCACTCTACCGTTACTCTTATCCGAGCAGTTCTGATTCGATGCACTCTGAGAATAATGCGATCCAAGTCAGCTGGCAATGACCGTTGCGAAGAAGGAGACTCTATCGTTGGCATACGAGTTTTATAGGCCTTACATTTCAGATTAACTTCCGAACGCATCAACAGAAACAACGGCAGATAACGGCAGCGCTCGTATGGGGCTGCAGTATTTATGGGATGAAGCTGCTAAGTAACCCCATCGTTTCCAAAATTAGCGGCTCCCATACTCGTTGTGGATGTTTGCACCTGGTGCGAATCCTTTTTTTGTCCGCATCCGTGTCGTTAACAGCAGCGAGTTCATTGTGAGTGTTGATTATGACTGTTCGGTCAGTTAACTCGCTAATACCGCCATTGAAAGCAGTGTTCACCTACGCGAGCCCCGCGTGATCACTTTTCCTGCCTAAGTGAAATCTTAGCGCCAAATAATGAGGGGGGAGATCGTTTCCTTTGTTAATCGGCGGTTGAGCAGAGACCCAGGACTCAGGTTGCTCACCGCTCATGTGGCTGCCGTTTCTTACGAGAATTTAAATCTCTTAAAAATTGAAGATGTGGTTGGATTCTCTCAAGTGAGGCAATTCCTTCTTGGTGCTGATGTATTTTCCACCCTTCGCGTTCGGCGAGATCTTCGAGTTTTTCCAAAGCCAATGCTGTGATCGCGCCAATTTACGTCTCGAAGGCGGGCAACCAACCGACCATCTCACCCAGTATTCGTGGCAAATTCGGGAGTCGCTAATTCTGGTAGGTGAGTGGTGACCTGACAACTGCATCAGAATGGGTCGGGGAGCGAATCCAAAGTGTCAGAGATCGAGTCTCCCCAGCTTTCACATGGAAATCGTTCTTTCCTTTACATTGGAAATTGTTCAAGACAGGCAGCCAGTAGTAAAAGTAGTAGCAGCCAGTTGTAACAGTAGTAGCAGCCAGTGGTAGTAAATGACAGCCTAGGCATTAACTGAGAGTTCAGACCCGTGTTTCACCGGTATTTTGCCGCTGCAAGGCACTGCCGCGGGGAGTTTGACCTAGAGAGGGGTTCCACAGCTTTCCTTGTGGGCTTTTTGGTAGATACTACAGTTTTGAAACTGCCAATTTTTAATTCCCTCAGACATTGATCATTAACTTGTGTTAGATCAGTCAGTTTGATACTTTTAGGCTCGAACTGAAGCAAAGTCCATCAGTCACAGCGAAATAACCGTGTAATATTCACAAACTTCCAGCGGGCAGCCACTGCTATACCACACTTGACGGCACAAGTGCTAGCTAAAAGCCCAAACACGTGCTTCGTCGATATTCTGCCACTGCATGGAAACGAATTCTTGTAAGTTTGATACTTCTAAAGCTTTCTGTAGGCAGCAGTTTTCAGGCATTAGTAATTTGGGCAAATTTTATCGTTGTCTGGAACGGACAGAGGAGCATTGCGTCAGACGTCGATGACTAAGAGGGGCTGGATTTTGAGCGGACAGTCTGTTTATTTTATTCCGTGCTATGTGCCAGATTCGAAGCTGGCATGTGCAAATACGTCCATCTTACGGCACCGAGCGTGCACAGGGACTGAAAACCCCGGGCCGCGCAAGGACAGGTCCTTTTTGTCAAGGAAACACACGTTCTACTTGCTCAGTTTAAGTAGCACTGAGGTTCAAGAATGCAATTATAAAGGCAACCCAACCTTTCACTTCAAGCACGCTGAGTAATAATTGGACACGAGTCGGTTAAACTCACCCCGGGTATACCGAATGGAAGATTGTGTGCATTACCTCGACACGTAGAACGTACATGAGCAGAGGGTAGACAGTGAGAATTTGGAATAACAAGGCCAGGCGTCCCACAAAGCCAAATATGTCTGCGGAGGTTAGGTTATTCAGAAGATTCTAAAAACAGGCAGGTTTTTTTTTCAGTTGTCAGGATACAAAATCCAGCAAAAAATAATGACAGTGACTTTGAATTATGTGGGATTTTTACTGAGCTACATCGGCAGACACCAATTTCGCGGTAAGACACTGTCCAAATGGAACAACGCATTCACTGGCCTTCCGATTCCCATGAAGGCTGTTGGTAGGCAGCATTGAAATAACGATTGTGCTGTGTGAATTTCATAATTCCCACTGGAGTTAGTGAAAGAAGTTGAGGAGACGTCGTCAGAACCTGATCTGTCAGGTCCAGCCTCAATTCCTTATGTTAACGTTTGAGCTGAACACTGACAGAAAACCTCCCTGTGTGTACATCCGTCAAATCTGCAGTGGGTAATGTATCTAATGAGCCTGTAATTTCCTTCACTATATCCCAAACGCAAATACTGATCAAACGACCACACACGTCCATCGTCGATTCTCTACGGTCTTGGACGCCAGTTATTATCCTAGGATTCCACAAGCGCAGTGCCTTCAACATTCGCAATTTCTTAGGACAACAAAAAGCGAAGAGAATCCATTGTGTGAAGAATCAATTGGCAAACATATACTTTCGGTAATTCACCACCAGGTCATTACAACTGCATGAGGGATAAACATATGAGCTATGGACAAGGTTTATATGTGTCCCTGGGGGGTAGGGATCAGTCACACTCGTCTTCCCCACGTCTCCTGCAAGTCAGCGTGTTGGGGACGTTGGAGCCGGGGGGAGGCGTCTTTAAGTGGACCTTGGATGAAGGACCTTGAGTATTCGGATGAGACGGGTGTTACCAGCCCCATTATAGGCCTCATAGCTTCCACTAGTCGTCTGCGATTGAAGAAGGACTGCACATAGTTTCCAAGCACAAAAATGACTCGTTTACAATTACAAACACCGCCCCGCGTATCGCGGACACAAAAACACGATAGTTCATAGTTTTGGATGCTCAACAAGTCATAAGGGGTGATGCAGTAAAACAGCTGGTCCATTGTACTGCTCATCTTCTCAATGCTGATTGCAGGCAACGGAAGAGCATTAGCGACGGAAATAATGGTAGCTGGAATGGACACCTCAGATTTCTTTGTCGCCCTCAACCAGTAAACTGGTTGCAACTTCCACACTGTCTCCTTATTGACCTCGTCTGGTTTCCTGCACGCGTTTAAATTATCACAATGTTTAAAAAATAAAGGAGGCCTGATGGCATAAATTGGCCCTCGCAACTAAGGAGCAGGAAGCAACAGTTCCTCCTTACTGGGGGCTTTTGGTAGCTTACTTAGTCATGGGATTCCAGTCGCTTAAATCAGGTCCCCGTGTGATAAGGAACCCCCTTCCCCTGTGTGCGCGGTATGGATCTGAATGCGCGCAGATTTCTAGACGCTGCCTCACCCATAAAGTATGATGAAGCGAAAAGGGAAAGTGAGACGGATGCTGCGGAAGTGCCCCTCGTTTTGACAACAGCTTTTCTCCCTCGCCCCAAACACTTGTCGACCCCGACAGGGTGTGTTGTGTGGAGGGCGGACTGGTGGACTGAGAGTCAGGCTGCAATGGCTCCTTCCTAATATGGCCTCTGTGGCACTCCCACTCCGTGGGATCCGAGCGGGGTGTGGCGGCATGCCTAGGGACGGCTCCGGCCGCGCCACCTACCTGCGCTCTATCTCACCTCCGGTCTTTTTGACACCGGGTCCAGGTTAGAGGGGACGAGAGTGTGGTAGATGCTGCACAAGTCCACTGCCACTTTAAACTAATTCACGTGCAAGTCACCGTCCATGCTCTCCCCCTGCTGTAAGGTACACGGTGGAAATCGAAGGAAACGACGGTTGAACTGTCCTATTATAATTGACTGAAGGTTTGATATATCGACACGTGAACGCACGCCATTGCAAAAATTGGTCGTTTATGATCCTGAAATTTTTATTTTGTCCGCTTCTTATAATCTTTGTTGTACCGTTCTCAGAAACAGAGTGTGACTGCGAAATTATTGGCTACAATATCAAAAATCCAAAAACACAAGCAAAGAAAAGTGTAAATCCTTACGTCTGCGATGCAGGACTTCGCCTCAGGAAAGGCCAGGTAAAAGACGACTCCAACAATTATATATGTGAGTGCAACCAATAAGAAGGCCATGAGAAGATCGCGAGCCTTAAAGCAGACAAAATGTGGACAGTCTTTATGATGTTAACATAGTAACAGTGCCATAAGGTCTCAAAAGGGGCCGAAGTCAGTACTTAAATTTAGACGGTGCACTGACAGACGAAAAAGGCGTCAGGATTTGACCGTAGCAAGGACAAGACAGGGCTTACATTGTTTTTCTGATTTTTGTTGCAGCGCATGATCGATTCAATACTATTGTGAATAAAGAAGGCCAGCGTGCATACTCCGGTAAGGGCTGGGAACAGAGGGCTGTAAACTGAAGTTGAAAAGTTGGTAAAGTGTCTACTGAAACGAAATTAGTAAACATTATTATGAACACTGAGCGCTGACCCGACGCGTGAAAGGGTAGTGATGACTTACGAGGGACGAAATTCAAGTGGGCAGGTTCGGAGAAATTCACATGTATGCCCCAGATACCGGCTTTGGCGAAAGTAAGGATGAAAATATAGAGAATGGAAACAGTTCCTAAAGAAGAATAGAAGATCGTTGTGGTTTCGAAACCAGCGATTTCTCTGTACTGCCAATGATAGTACAATATGTTCTCTGCCTTACCTAAAGCCGTGAATTTCGTGAAAAACGTCGGTGACCGAATGCTGATGAGTGGAAAGATGAGCAGCAGGAGCCATCCAGGGACAGTCCTCGTGGGGTTCCACAGAACATCAAACAGGCTTTCTTCGCTTGCAGCAGTTGGTGTGAAGTTTCCGGTCAAGTTAGCGACATCAGTAAACTGCTCGCAGATAACTAGAAAGTTTTGAAAATTTAGTTATAGGACTGCCGCTAATAGGACATAACTTATTTAGTAGTTGGAAGGAAAAAGTGCTGCCCAAAAGTTCGCCGAATCCACCTAATTTCTCCACCGCCCTCCGAGCTGGTAACACAAGACACCGTCCAGACTTGATCCCATGAGAGCTTGCGAGTCCAATTTTGTATTTGTGAGAATTGGGAAACATTCTAGCGTAAAAACCTTTAGGACTGGCGGACCACGGACAAATATGATCGTGCCCATGTTAACGACACCTACAAACGAACCCTCCTCTGGTCCGCAAAAATTCCTCAATTCTGTCTACGCTGACGAACATAGGTTGGCACGTAGTGAGTCCAGTCGGGAGCCTGCCATAACGCTGTGCCACTAGCGCCTACATGAACGTACGGACCAGCGAAAGTCGTTCATTTGGTCTTCTGAGGTTCTTTATGGCACTCCCACCGCGTCTGGCCGCCCGCTGAAGCAGAGCGGCTCTGTGCGGCTTTCGTTTAGTCACAGCTATTGAAGAAGGAGACACGATCGCTGGGACAAGAGCTTCATTAGCCTGACCTTTCGGATTCATGCTTGAGCCCATCATCAGAGACAAAGAAGATACGGGTGAGCCATGCATAAGGGGCTGCAGTATTTATAGGATGCAGTAGCCATGCTACCGCATACCTATGAATATTCACGCCTCCCCCCTTCGAGCAATCATTACACCAACATCCAACATACGTGATGAAATTGCAGCAATTAGCGACGCGAATGTCGACCATCACACCACGTGCAACGATCCCTGATGACAGGAGGAGCCGTGAATATCCATAGGCTTTCTGCTTTGTTTCTAATGATGGGTTCGAGCAGGAATCCGAGACGTCAGGCTAATAAAGCTCTTGTCCCAGCGATCGTGTCTCCTTGTTCAAGACTGCTTCCTGGGACTCGACTCTTCGCTTTTATTGGCAAGCACAGCTATCCAGACCGGCCAATCAACCGCAAGACTGGCGCAGACATGTCTTCGCGCAAGGCGCTCCTACGCCTGTTCCGCTATTGCCGGCCGCCAAATCACCCCAACACATTTTCTATTCATTCTCTATAGAATACAGTGCTCTCTCTCACCCGCTACAGGCGTCTTTTAGCTCTTCCTACTGGGGAGCCGGCACAAAGGTCGTAGTAGCTGGAGTCTGCCCACCGGCATAAGCCGTCACGACAAGCTTATAAGAATCGGACTTACCCCCGTATCTTGGTTGCGAGGAATTGTCCCCGTAGGGGTCGATATGCCGGTTGACGTAGTCTGAAAAGCCAGGTGGAGGAATGTAAGTTTGCATAGGAAAATTCGGATGGACTTACGGGGAATCGTCGGTAAAGTCCTAACGCTGAGTGAACAAATGGCAGGTGGACACGTCCGATAAATAAACGTGAATAAAACCCACAAAATGGATTTGTATGGTTAGTCTTACCATTGCCATACAGAGGCGCCATAAAAAATGTGCTTCTGGCATTTGTTTTTCATTTTTTGAGGTTGAAAATCCTTCATGGTACTGTAAGAACAAAAAGCTTGGCGTACTCCCACATGAAAAAGACTTTAAAATGCACACTTACCAGAACCTGCAGAAATAACAGGCTGCGTTAGAACTTATGATAATAAAGCCATATTGTCGAATTAAAGCAAAAATAGGTAAGATGGTAGTTGGTAGCCCCCCGGTACCGAAAACTCCCAGCTACCAGACTTACGGGACCGGTGGTAATAGGGGCTATAAGGGTGGGACAGATGAGTGGAGGCGTAAATGGCGCTTGTAGGGAATGCCTGGAATTGACGATCCTGATAAAGTGAAAACCTAATTTAAATAAGGTGAAAAATGCGAGGAAGGTAAACATATCGGATCTGACTGACGTATGAGACGCCTTGCTGTTGTAGTCTGAACCCAAGAGGTAGTAAGTGCGCGATGTCGTAGGTGAAGTGCGCCCAGTTCAAACCCAGCAATGTCGAAGCACCCGGGGGTGCCCTAGTGCCTTAAACTGGGAGTGCAGGAAGGGATCGCTAACTGGCCATGGCGGTGTTAACAAGGCGTCACAGTTTTCAGCCAAACCCTTGCGACCAAATACAACCGGGCTGTTCGTAAAGGCGGGGGGTGGAGGGCAACACTCTGTCAATACGACTGATGCAGTGGATGGAGTATCGGTTGACATCCTAACTGCGCGTCGGTTGTCCTTTTGTACACGATCGCACCGGACTCTAATGGAGGTCTGGAGTAAAAAGACCCAAGGATGCAGGCAAACCGACGAAACGGAGACCCGCGCCAATCCGCCTAGGATAGTACCTATGCAATTAATCTGATGCAGATAATACTGTGCGCACATGCAACTAGAAGCATAATGGGAAGCATGATGAATTATAACCCGTTTAGGATAAATCTTTCGCCTTTTACTAAAGATTTCCGTGTGTGGGTGCAATACAATGAGTCTATATAGACAGTCTTGCAGCGCCTCGTTCTTGGGGCAGTTAAAGTAAAGAAGAAAGTCATCCTGACAGGGCCTCTGTGCGTGCACCCCCCAGACATAATGAGAACGTTATCACAGATACCGAAATCGAGCCAGTAGGTACAATTGTAGAATGCAGGGCTACCAACTACCATCCTGCCCAAAAATGACTAGGGGGGGAGGGGAGACACCGGTTTCCTCTTTGACGTCACCGCGAACGTCAGCCGTACATTTAATTAAACCTGCTAGCTCGTCCACAGAACGCGATAAGAACTAGCAACTGCACCGAAAATTGGAGTGTGGTGAGACGAGGCTGCATCGACCTCACTCCAGCGTTTCACAGGTAGACTAGACCAAGACGGGTGCGCATGGGTTTGGACGGCGTGGTTGACCCTATGGGGGAGGGGGAGACTACGAGTAACTGTCTGTCGATCGGAACGGTTGTCTGTACGCGGCCGCTGAGTTCAGTACGGTTTCGTAGAGTACAAGCCAGGCTTGGAGTTTTATTATGCCCCTCAGAATCAAAGAATCCTGGGACTGCTGACACCCTGGATCATTTTTTCAGTCTCACAGGAGTGACCCCAACCAAGGCTTGCTGCCTTCAAGACGGAATACGGTCGAGTTCACACGGATGGGAATATAGCGCCCAGCGACTGATGAGCGATAATTGCAACTGACTTGCAACCAAAAAGTTCTGTTTAACGCCACTTTCACATACCTCGGAATATTCAAGTTCCGCATAGACGGGGCGTCAGTCCGTGACTAGGCGGTAGAGCTTATGACTTACAGTGAGTGACCGATCTCATGAAATGTTGGCCAAAATTCTGGAATGCGTTTCCGATTAGGAAGGATTACTTAAGTGGGGTTGTTGTACCGATTACCATGCAGCATAACCCTATAACAATTCGGACTCGTCAGGATGTCGGCATTTGAATGCACTTCTTTTTGACCTTTAGCAGTAATCACACTCGGTAAAAAATGACTACTTAAGTAGCATGCATTTTTCCTATCGATTTTCGATGGTCTTGCAAATTCACATATATTTTACAGAAGCCATGCACAAAATATGCTTTCTTTTGTTCATTTGGTAGAAACTCACATTGTCTTCATATTTCGTGCTCGGAGAAAGTATATATTTAGGTTTTAGAAAATTTTCTAATTATGACATTTTAAAGACCGTGCGATGTCCATGCATGCAAGACCGCACATGTTCGTTTAGTAATGCTCCTCATGAAATGTACAACACGGTCTCGATCCATTGCAAAATTTCATGAACTCTATGTGGTATTTCCTTAAAGGCATAGTGGAATATATGATTTTCCTTAAGCGGAAAACATGCACCTTGTAGACTGAAATTGCTAAACGCTTATGCAATGGAAGATCAGACAGAAAATTATTCGGAGATCGGGAAACATTTTTAAAACCAAAATATACACTTTCTTCGGGCATAAAATATGAAGACAATGTGATTTACTACCGAATGAGCAAAAGAAAGCATATTTTAGACATGTTTTCTGTAAAATATATGTGAATTTATAAAACCATCAAAAATCAATTGGAAAGATGCATGATATATAAGTGGTCATTTTTTACAGTGTGATTAATGCGAAAGGTCAAAAAGAAATGCATTCAAATGCCGACATCCTGACGAGTCCGAATTGTTATAGGGTTATGCTGCATGGTAATCGGTAAAACAACACCACTTAAGTAATCCTTCCTAATCGGAAGCGCATTCGAGAATTTTGGCCAGCATTTCATGAGATCGGTCACGCACTGTACGTGCGGCTCATGTACAAGGGGCGGCAGCATTTCTAGGATGCATTCGCCAGGTTACAGCATACCTATGAATATTCCCGTCTCTCTCCCTTCATCAGGGATCGTTGAACTTGGTGTGATGAATGTTTGATGGCCGATATTCGCTCCGTTTATTGCTGCAGTTTCCTCACGTGTGTTGGATGTTGGTGTGATGATCGCTTGACTATCTGACCCATCGACCCTGGCGTTGGGAACAGTGTTATAGGGTTATGCTGCATGCTGATCAGTACAACAACCCTACTTAAGTAATCATTCCCACTGAGAAACGCATTCCAGAATTTCGGCCAACACTTCATGAGATCGGTCACGCACTGAAGTCGGCAATGCTATTCTGCCTATATTACGCGCCGTTGTGCGGCTGATGGCGGGGCTCGAGGGAGAGAGCCCCATGGTACAACGGGACGAGTGAGTTCCGTAACGCGATCTCAACCGATAGGGCGAAGAGAGTTCGTGGCTCAGTGGTCAGGGGGTTGGACTTTTAACCAACAAAACGTTAGTTCGATCCTCGGGAATTGGATACTTCGGAGTTGAGTATAACTTGATGATGACGGCTAACAGGCCAGATATAACTTAGTTTCCAATGACCAAAATATCTTGGTTAGAGCCCCTAATCTTCGAGTCCAGGGGATAAGTATGGTCGGCAATTTAAGGTTTCGGTGTCTTTATTAATAACCGCTCTCAGTTAGCCAAATGGCTCTCTGCAGCTGTCTTCTCGCATCACGCTAACTACTCTCAGCGCAAAAACTAATTTATATTGACTGATAAGGTTTCAATTAAATCAGCAGTCAACTAGCGAGATTTCGATAAATTCAGTGAGCGGATATAACATGTCCCCGATTTTTTCTCAGCATGTCGGAACGGAGGCAGTGGGGACATTTCACAGCTTCGCAAGGAAGGGACGTCTGGAGGTACCTGGTGCATTTGACTCCCACCCAGTCCGGAGGGGAGACGGATGAGTCCTATTTAAACAAGGCTATTGACGAAAGCATCAGAAGCGGAAAAGGGGCAAAGCGAGAGGTCCCACTCACAGCGTATGAAGGTGCCGGTGTTGTAGGCGAAGTTGACGAGCAGGACATAGTAGACGATGAGGGCTCCGGTGAGACAGAGGATGGAGGAGAAAAGACAAAGCACCTTGCCGGGTTTTCCCAAATAGTGGCTGCAGGCCTTGGAGAAGTCCAACGTGCAAGGATTTGGGTGATGAGTGGCAGCTAGAAATATGGGTACAAAGCACATGGATCATCTTGACTGTTACTGCACAGTGTGAGAAGCATGATCACTTCTAAACTTCTCCGAGAGTCCGTTGAACCAGCCAGCATTTGGCACCGCCCATTATTTTTGTGCGTTGAGCAGCCGAGTGATAGACCGAGAGTCGGACTGCGGTGACTATCGCTTGACGTGGCCTCTAGGATACTTGGGTACATGTGACATCTGATCCGCCTACTTTTCCCTGGGAGTAATCCTAGTGTGTGCTCAAGGGGGTAGGTCGTGAGCGTGGCACGTGCAGACGGATCATTCTCAACTGTACCAACCAACTCTCCCGATCTCAGTATCAGCTGGATGATCGTCTCGGACTGGTTCGCGGGAATGGGGAAAGAGAGTGAGGTCGATTCCCGGCGCCCTACGTGGCCTGGAGGGTCGCCAGTTGAGGGGATAACTTGAACTTAGCAGTGTGTGTTTTCGTGAGGTGGCCGACCAATAGACTGAGAGTCAGACTGCAATGTATCCCTCTTAATGTGAGCACTAAGTTGGGATCCAAGTCGTCCCTCTTGCTTATCGTGTGAAATAATAGTCGTTTGTGCACGGACCTAGGGGTGAGGTGGCGCGCTTAGATGCGGGTTCAGGTCACGCAACCTCTTGCCTCCGGTCTTCTCGACCTTGTCGTGATACCGGACCCAGGTGGGTTCTGTGATCCCACAGGTCATTTCAGTTAAGGAGCAATCTTTCCTAGTTTTCGCGCCAAGTAGCTAGCCACCTGGAGACATTACCGCGCCTATCAAACCGAACCTGACTCTGTTAATTCGCCACTGGTTCTGGTGAACTGCAATGCTGAAGCAGTCACTGCAGCAAACTCTTTGGTCAGGAAGTGTGAGTACGCGATTGCTTAGTCTGAATTTCGGCACATATGGACGACCTACTAAACTCCTGACCGGCTACTTGAAAACAAAGGTGTGAAAGTCAGTAGATAGGTCACACTCTGGCCCGTTCAAAACGAACAAACTGCATATAACCCCCGCTTGAATTAACGGTGAAGATCCAGATGCAATCTCCCAGATGATATTGGTCTGCTTCATGTCTGCTGATTTGAATGTTTTTTTTGTGCCAGGAGAATCGTAGAAGTGAATACCAAACAAATGCGACAGGGCACCAGTTCGGGGGTAGCGTATGGGCCTTGCTTAGGTCTGAACCAAAATTCTACCATTTTCGTCTACTTAGATGACAGCAAGTGGAGATCTTTATGAATACAGATTTCGTTGAATTTCAAAGAGAATTTACGACGAAGGAGGTTACTGCAGGCGGAGTAAATTGTCCCAAACTGTCTTCAGCTGGTTAGGTGACCCGAAGGTGAGCCACAAAAGGTGAGCGGACAATATCAGATCAGTTAGCCATGTTTTTCTCCACTAACCCACTTAACCCTACAGCATTCCCGTCTAGATCGTATGCACGCACCTGAACCTATGCTGAAGCATGTCACTGAACTTTATTTATAGTCTTAAAAGATCTAGCCAAGCCAAACTACTAAGTCGACATGAGCAAAGCTGACTCTTGCTGACTCAAACCAATGTAACCACGCCACACTCAGGGATGCACATTGTTCTATCTCCTATTCAGACGTTGGTAACAGAGTCAGTAACTCTAGCTGTCCTGCTCCACAATATAATGCCTTTTCAAAATGATCTCTCGTGAAGCCTTTTCGTAGATGCCTTTAGCCTTTACCCGTCACCGCATTGTGTTGTTTACGTCAATCAAAAATGGGTGCGTTTTGCTGCACGTGAAGTCTGGGTTTGGACTGGCTGGAATGAGCTGTGCAGTGGGGTCGCGAGTCTAACTGACCTTGCCGTGAAGGTTTCGCATGCCTTAAGTCCCGTGATCTGAGCTCTGCCATCCGACCCTGTCCTCATTTATGATCATTGTCTGAAGTGACTGAGATAAGATGATTTATCCTCACCCAACCACAGGTGGCATTTGAAGAGTCGTCATCGCTAAATGTTTTCCCTACCTACGCATAGGCTCTCTCTCTCTCTCCAGTAGTGTTACGGGTGATTCTCATCAATGCATGATTATACCTAGCCTGAACTATGAGGGACCGAGTGTTCAGACAGTATGACTACGACGGATGAGTGCCGGAGGTATCTGTTTTCGTGTAAGCTCTCTACATGAAAAAGTGAGGTCAGCCGACTGGCCGCCTGTGCAACCATCAGGACACGACGGTCAAACAGCGATGGTTATTTTCCGATTTCGGTGAAATTCATTCCCCTCATTTTCTCCAAAATTTCAAGCGAAGAGCATCAGCTACCGGTTAACCTATAGGTTAGCGGACTGGTAGAGGAAGGGTCACATAAACTACACTGCAGAAATTAGGCGAAGGATAGGTTTGACGTTAAAGTCGGTATCCAAATGACATATTTTGTTTAATTGAATTGCCGTAGTTTGTTTCACAGATCACCATATGATGCAAAATGCAGAATCAGGAATGAGTGCAGAGCGTGTTTTTTTTCTGGCTGTTACCCATCGTAAAATAACTGGCATTGCTTGCAGTGTTCAAAACGGCTACATTATAAAATACAACACCAACCGTGAAAGTAAATTAAAGCGGCAAAAAGTTTATCCAGCGCGGGCGGCCGCGGTTGATTTCAAGAGGAGGAGGAGCAGCGAAAGCCAGGAAATTTTGGAGATCAAAAACCTAATTTTCTACTCCACCTGTGGATTCTTGTGCGCATATAAATTCACTTCCCCCCAGGCAGTAAAATATGACAGAAGAAACTTGCAGTTTGCACTTGCTCACGTACTTGCAAGTTCCCCCGAAGATTTTAGGATTCGGTAGGCCAGGTAACACATCACGAAAGCCACCAAAGTAATCAGGAAGATTCCGAGTGCAAAGCCCGCCTAGTTGGCCAAAAGTGTACCGAATTACTTCTTCGATAAACGTCCGGACACAATATTAACCGGCATCTTTATGAGCCGAATGCGCTTAAAATCACTTCAAACAACATCAAGAACCCAGAAGGACTTACCTGTTGGATTGCCCAAGGCATCGTGAGAATTGAGGTGCCCATCATCGTGCTCCACATTGAGAAACTTTTTGAAGAATAACGACTTCAATTAAGGTCCAGGAAAGACTCGATTTGCATGATAGCATGACAAAGCCGTTGTAAAGCAAGGTCAACTGCAGTGGACAAATAACACTTGCACAAAAATGGCAGTACATATTCAGGACAGCAAAATTTAGCAATTTGAGTAGTACAAGGCGAAAGTGGGGTTGTTTTAAATAGGACATCTCACAGGCGGTTAGGAAATTTACTTAATCGTCTAAGGGCATCAAATGTCCTCATATTCAGCGGGTCTCATAGGTTCAACCAATGATAAAAGAGGCATGGGAATGGTTTTGTACTAAAGTCATTCCCACGTATGACCATTCAAGTCCTCCAAACAACATGTTTTCTCTAATCGGCTAGGGTGTTTTACTAGTCGAAAGGCGCTCATTGGGTTGGTGAATAAAATGGCAAGGCAAGAGGACAGGAACCCCTTATCCCGGGCACATCGTGCCAATTTCTGGGGATATTAAAGCTGGTGTCGAGGTTAGGGTTGTGTTGAAGATGAGAGTTAAGTTTTGGACTACGACTGGGGTCAGGGTTAGTGCTGGAGTTAATGTTAACACTAGGGCTAGGGTAAGGCTTAAATTCGAGCTTGGCGTTAAGGTTAAGTTTTGGGCTAGGGTTAAGGTCAGTGTTAGGGTTGCGGCATGGGAATGGTCACTTTCCCTGCAATATTGCGTAAAACCACCCGTACTGCTGGAAGGAGGCTCTTAGGCCCTGTCTTTCCAAGTAAGTATGATGAACAGGATGTGGGCGGGTAAATCTACAAAGCATATTCCGCGTATGTGAAATATCAGAAATACCAACTTCGACAATCGGCATGGTGACCGCTGTGGTCTTCAACAGGGCTGTGCGTAGAATAATGTCCTAATTCTATCAAGCTCTCTTATTATAGCCATACGTAGCCAAAAGGGCCAACCATTGGAGTTTTAGCTAAATGGACACCACCTGACCACAGAGACTAATAGGAGCGCAGAGTAATTTCATCAAAAAAGGGCAAATAACTTGACAATAATTCGTTCCAAGGCGTGGATGACGTCAGATATCCGCGACAAACTACAACTATTAAACATTTGAAGCGAGCCATTCCCCGATTAATCCACTTTAAAGGATTTTAACAGATGCCATATTATAATTCATCTGGGTCTGTTCGATTTGTTTGCATTAACAAATTACTCGCTGACGTTTTAGTACCTTACATTCTCAATAGTACATAGGGAGTCGAATAACCTACTACTGACGTTGGGAATTTAGTCGTTTAGACTAGCGTAAAACTACTGTGACTAAGAAATGAAGGAAATTGATCGATAGCATGTGTGGTGCTCGCCACAAACACTCCCCAACTGCGTTATCTGGTCACGCGCAACGATTGATAAACAGGCAGACAGCTGAATTCAAGTCACGACGCAGATCGACTGAACGAAACTCATCTCCCCCCTCTGAAAAGAAGAGGTCAGTTCTGCTATCCCAAAAGGGGAGTCGATCGAGCGGAAAAAAGCCCTCTTCTTAAACCAAATGAAGGGCATATAGATTAATTAGCATTCCAATGGCCGTGGCCGCAGCTCGGAAGTTAAATGCTCCGAGTGAACTTGGGAAAGAGGGTCAGGGGTACATTTCGGACGCCGATGAACCAATGTCTTAATCTGTGCGAATTTTCTATGCCGACAGGGTGTTTTAATAAAAAAAACCGTGGCCATAATCGTTGTGCGTGCTAACTTTTTATATTGATAGAACGCCTCGGGCGTTCATTTTGTGCTGCGAAAGAGGTCACAGTAATTGTCAATTTACTTATTGCACATAAGTTCGCAAAACTTTTGTTTATGTCAAAATATCTCGCAACATTGGAATAGTTTTTAGGGAAGTTTGAGGCCGATTTTTCCAAAATACGCAGGACTGCTCAAAATACGGTCAAGCCAAGCC